TCTAAAATTCTTACGACACCGACTATTATCTAATCACTCAGTCCCTAGTTCATGTTTAGTTTGTCTTGTTCACCAGCCCATACTGATTTCTATTACTCTAGAGTCTAACTTATCCTTCTGGTAGTCGCGTTGGAGTCACGAGCTTATTTCTCGAAATGAGGATATGACTTTATGGCCTATACTCTTTTGTTATCTCCAGGCCTGTCACCTCTCGTCTTTTCCTTCACTTGATTATAGACTCTGTAATACTGTCATTTTCTTGATCTATCGTTGTCATCCATGTATCACATCTTACTCATAATGCTTCATTAACTCTCTGCTTATTTCCCTGCCAACCTTTCTGTCTATCACTTTATTCTGAGAACTTCAATAAGACATTCTTTTGCTTTTAGCTCCCCTTGCTCCATCCACTGGCTCTTCCGGTTGCCTAACATTCTCTCTCTACTAGGGGCGGGAGCCAAACTAAGGTAATATTTATCCCTTCAAGGCTTCCAGTGCCTGTCTTTGCAGTATTCATATCTAACCGTACTATTTTAGAGTGCACCATTTGGGTGTCTCACAAGGAGATCTATTAGCACATTCGTAATATCCTTCGGAATGTCAGCTAACGCTAACAATCCATTCAACATTTTGGTTTACTTTAACCCCAGCTGAGTCCTGATATCCCGTCCTTCTCTTAAACTATATATGTTGGCTCCCATGGAGCATAACTGAGATGGGTATGACTAATTGTACATACCTCTGTTACAATTGAAGGTAACTCAAAAATGCTCATTTTTCTCTGCTTGAATTGTAAATGTTGTTAATCTTCATTAACTGGGTACCTCGTACCCTTCTTCACCTTGCTTCTTTTACTTTCTGAAACTTGTGTCTACCTTCCGATTCTCTTATTCCTTTTTACCGTAAGAGTGTATAGACATTCTTGCCTTAGGGATCCTTATCAAGAAGCTTACACGTCTTAATACACATAAGATCTACAGAATACCTCATATTTATCCATCATAATCATGATGCAAAAATTGAGTTTCTCTGAATTAACTCTTCCACGGTTATATCTCTTACCAACTGTCTTCTTGAATGCAGGCGTCGTCGTATTATGAATAAGATAGATTTTAGTAAATTGAGTTCTTACAACTGAGCTCTACCACACGATCTAGAGTAAGAAGAAAGAGTGACAATCCTAAATGACATGTAGCCTCATACTTATAAGTGTGGTGCACAACACAACCATAAACAAGACTCTACTAGACACGGCTTGTAGACTCCCTAAGACAGAACTGCTCTGATACCACTTTTGTCAAGACCCAAACCGATGGGCCGCAATGGGCACCCGGTAACTTACCCAATAGAGTACCAACATAATGTATCTTTCGTATCATTCCATCATAGGTAAATGAACCGGAGTAAAGCATGAGGGAAAACACTTATACATATGACATACTAGCCTATAAGACCCAAAACGATCACTCGTACACTAAACATAAGCCGACAAGGCCATACAATCTTTTATATACATGACCTTTATCTACAAGCCTCTAAGAATACATAATTGTCACAAAGGTCGGGACGGAGCCCCGCCATACCAAACAATACACATCGAAATCATACTGACCAACCAATCAACTCCAGAGCAAATAGAGTGCACCAACATCTTCCGCTGAGCTGATCGCCTACTTGGAGGACTCTCGACCTGCGGGCATGAAACGCAGCGTCCCCAGACAAAAGGAATATCAGTACAAATAATGTACCGAGTATGTAAGGAATGAAAATCAGTAAATAATAGACATGAGAGAAACATAGAGTAAAAAGACTCGACATGTACGTCTGCATAGCTCTGTGAATCATTTTATTTTTATAATGTTATGCATATGCGTATAAATGTCATAAATGCATAGGTATATGCGTTCATAACATCATCAAGCCTCTAAGGGCATTCCATCATATCATTTCGGCCACTGTGGGCAAATCATCAACGTATACCAGCTGATCATGTGGTAGTGCGTATATAACGCCGTAACATTTTCTCATATCCCATATACATATATATACATATATACGCGTATATAACACCATCTGGTCATGGGTCAATATATATATATATATATATGCATGAAATGCATAAGAAATACGTTAATAAAATTTCTCGGAATGTCATAAAAATTATTATGCCTGTAGAATAAACTTTATCAAATACGTATTTTTCTGAGACCCATGAACATAAGATATAATAATAATTTACATGGGGAATCAAGAATATAGACATCCCTAGTATTTCTATGAATAGAGTCATTTATGAAAGTTGTACATTTGCTCATTTTGTTCGTGTCTTATAGATCATACCAAAATAAAGAAGGGATAGCCTTAACGTCCCTGAGTCGATTCTCTTGACAATCCCTCTAATACACGTTGATTGCGACAATACGTAACGGCGGATTGAAGTAGGGAAAAAATCCGTATGATATTCTTGAGAAAGAGAATTCCATTCATTATGAAATCTTGCTGTTACGTTATGAAATTTTGATCATCATATAGTATAACCTTTCTTGCTGAAGTTCATCCGTAACTTTTTGTTGAAGATTTCATATGAATTCCTTGGTTTGAGATATCATTCATTAGCTTAGAAAGCATAAGAATCTCACTTTGTAAAAGATTCCTATTAAATCTTGTTTGAGAATCCAAAACGTTACTTAGCAAGCCAATATTACTTACTTATTAATGTAGGAAAAGCTCTTAAAATTATGGGTTGTGGGCCCCATTTTATATGATGACTTGGCCACCTCATTCTTTAATTGTGACACCTATCTTGTGCACTTTAAGAGTCACATTTTGTGTCTTTGATCTTTGTTCCAATTGCTGCCACGTTTTTGGCTTAGTCTTTGTCCAAAGACTTTAATTAATCATCCACTAATTATTAATTAACTTGTTGATTCTCCCATTATCCAATAATTATCCAATTATCCACATAATTAGGAATTATCTTAAATTACTTAAAATACTACTCACTTTTAATACACTTTGCACACCTTTCTATTATGCTCATGTGGTACCTTGCATGACACTAGTCCATAAATACGGGGTATTGTAGCTTGAACCATATTTATCTCAAAATGTCAAACTTCGATGAAAATTCATTTTCTTCAATTTGTTTACCCTCTCACCTTCACGAATTTACTCATCACTTGTTTGAAGTAGCATAATACTTATAATCTCCAAATAATCTCATTCCTGAACTTACATCGATTAGATTACGACGAAACTTTAACGTACGAAAATGCGGGATGTGGCATCTCATTTTCGAGCTTATATCAATTTACTTATGGCGTACTTCCACGTATGAAAATATGGGGTGTAACAATCGGATTCACCATGGATGCTATTTTCGGGACCACAATGTTGGTTCGCTTCGATGGCCACATGTGAATTAGCTTCAATCGGATCTACGACCCGAGTTTCAACGGGGCCAGCAGGTGGCCTTTCATCCCCGGTCGTTCCGTTGTTATTCTCCCCTTGATGACCAGATTCGTTGTCGATATGTAGATGTATTAATTGAGAGTTCATCATTTTTAGCCTGAAATCAAAGATACTTCCAAGAGTAAGTGTAAAATAGTGTGTTTTACAGAGATTTGTATCAAATAACCACTATTATCCTTAGCCCCATAGTGGGCACCAAACTATTTACCCGAAAAACGGATAATCAATTGAATTTATACGCGGTTCTAAGGATATGTAGTATAATTCGGTACAAATTGGAAAAAGTATATAAATGAATATCGAAATTAATTATGAAAGAAATGAATGCAAACCGAATGGATTAATTAGCCTAAGCCTTCAAATTTTATCACCATCAAACTGAATGGAGAGTAACTGATAGAAGAACAAAATGACTAGATATCAAAACGAGAAGAAAGATAGTATATTGCTTTATGTTTTATGAATCCGAACGAATCTGCCCTTACAAATATCAGACCCCTCTTTATATAGTAGGGAAGTCTTATTCTTAATATAATTTCTAAATACGGTAAGGAATCTCATGATAGATTAATTAATTGGCCCCTCCTTGATATGAGACGGGATTTCGCTGAGATTCTCGCCCAATTACGGATATTCCGGTTTTATATTTTTTGGCTTGATAAGCTTTCCTCAATTTTGGCCGATCTCGATCTTGATCGGTCTCTAACTTGCTCGATCTCGATCTTGGTCGACTTTGATCATGACCGGTCTTGATTTTGCTCGATCTCGATCTTGATCGGTCTCTGGATCACGAGCTCGGCGACCCTCCTTCGCATTATGATTCTACACGAGGCCGAGCCTTAGTTTATCACGTCCCAATCTCGATTAGTCATACGAATGACAAACTCGATTTTGACCGTATACAGTAACATCGATTATTCTGCTTCTGCTACTGTGGAAAAAAAAATAAAATGAAAGACCACGTTCTGCCACTCTCGTTATTCATGCAAATCATATGGCTGTAGGATTTATATGCAAATATTATTTCCGTCTCTTCAACAACTAGAACGGCAGAAGCAGGGAATAGAGACTTTCAAGTTTTTCTCACGGAATCCAAAATGATCCAAATTCAAGTACTCCGTATTTTGAAATAAACTTCTGAGAAAAATTGCAATTATCGTTACTGAACAATTACTGCTAAACAGTGACTAGGTACCCCGATTTTCCCATAGTGTTTCATATGATGGAATCAAAGGGAAAACCATAAAAGGACCTTTGAGTGATCTAATTAAGTAATCCATCTGTTACATCACACAGGATATACATATGGACACTTTTACCTTTTTGCTTTATCTTTTTTTCTCTTGCGTATCCAAATAGGAATATTTCAACTAACAGTAGGAAAAGGAACAGAGAGACAGAGAAGTGCGTGCTGTCACGACATTTAGACAAAGAAGAGCACGTTAGGGAGTGGCGGCCCACGGTCGGTTGGTCCTCTGTTTTATTCAATTTTAGCTTCAAATAAAGTCTCCCTTTCAATCCAAGTCTCTTCCTCCTCTTTCTTTACCACTCCACTGCTCTATTCTTCTTTCATTGCTAACCCCCCCAACTTTCTCTTCCACAATAAGTGTTCTTCTTTCAAATCACAAGAACCTGTCAAAATGAGGACTCTGTGCACCAACTTGGATAGAGAAGATGGACTAGAAACTGTGCTCGAAGTCCCCATCCCTGAAGAAATGTTTGCTTCCCATAAGAACAGGTCATGGCATAACATGAAATCTTGGGTTAAGTCTCACACTCATGACAAGTCTGCTGATTCCATTTTCGGCGGCCGTAATGCTGAAATTCAGCTCTTGCTTGGCGTTGTTGGAGCCCCTTTGATCCCTCATCCCATCCGCTGTGACCACTCTCTCAACAAAAAGATCAATGATCATCCCATTGTAAGTCCTTAAAAACTATACCTCAAAATCTTATTCCCATTGGTCCATTTAATAAAACAGCAATTTCTTGTTTCGAGACTTTTAAATTTGAACTTCCTAGAAATTTTACAGCCACAATAGTCAATTAACTATATTTATGAAGAGAATGTTGCTTAACGAATTATTGGTTTATACTTACTTGTACAGGAGGCTTCAATGGCCAAGTATATCGTACAACAGTACATAGCTGCTGCAGGAGGAGAACATGCTCTGAATTCAATTGACAGCATGTATGCTATGGGAAAGGTAAAAATGTTAGCGTCAGAATTTATAGCGGGAGACGGCATGGGGTTGAACAATAATGGCAAGGTGATGAAGAATATCAAGAGCGTGAAAAATGGGCCAGGGGAAATGGGAGGATTTGTGTTGTGGCAGAAAAGACCTGATCTTTGGAGCATAGAGCTAGTCATTTCAGGGTGTAAAATCAGTGCTGGAAGTGATGGTAAGGTGGCCTGGAGACAAACTCCATGGCACCATTCTCATGCCTCTCGTGGTCCTGCTAGGCCTCTTCGTCGTTCCTTACAGGTACTTTTTTCTATTCATATTACCCTTTATTTATTAATCATAATGTAATACTATAAAGTAAAATTAAGTGAAAAGATGAATTGTTCCATCAACTTAAGGAATTTTGGTAGCCTAATGAGTTTATTTTTGAATCCCATATATAGTGTGTGGATAAAAACATTCTTTGATTCTCAATGACAAAGCGCTATGTTCTTTCACAGTTGTGAGGGGTCTCGTGTCTGGTATCTACCTGGAAGTTGTTAAAGTGTGAAATGATCCGTCAACCTATTCAAAATTCGTTTGGTGTTCTTTTGACTTTAATTATCCAGGGGACCTACTTCAAACTTCTTTTTTCCTTTTGCTTTTTCCAAGGTCCAGCAATCTCTTCCGGTTTTATTTAAACCTTTTTTCTTATTTTCTTTTCGGTCTCTTATCGGCCATTCCATGTGGACCTAGGATGCTATTTTACCAAATCAACTATTTAATCAAATAAGCATTCCAATTAGCCAGTTAGCCTAATCTTTCTATGATCTGGATCAAGCAGTCAACGTTAACATTAGGTTGGTGTCTAATCCGTCCTTTTTTTCTCGAGTCTATTTACAAATTCCACGTTATGGATCACATGGCTAGAGTATACCCAAATTCCATAAATTTAAACACCTTGACCCCATCAACTTGTTCCTTTAGCCAAAATTGGAACAATAGAAATGTAGCAAACAATAAGCCAGCACTAAAATGACACCTCGTTGTGACCGAAAGCCCAAGGGAACAAAAAGAAAACAAAATAATATATACTCCCACCATTATAATTTAGGTGAACCTATTTAACTGAGCACAGAGTTTAGGAAAAAAAGAGAAGGCTTTTGAACTTGTGGTGTAAAATGAAACACAAATATTTTGTGTGGATATAAATCATTATATAAAGGTAAATTGTTTCCAAATATGAAAAGATGTCATTCTTTTTGCACATACTAAAAAGGAAATAGATTCACCTAAATTGAAACGGAAGTAGTATTATATTATTGAATGTACAGGGATTTCTGTTCACATTTTACATAGGCGGATTTAAGATGGCTTCTGTGAGTTAAATATTGGGTTTAACGGAACCTATTGATTTCATAGCAAAAAAAGTTTAAGATGTACAATATATAAGATTACACTGATCATTCTGACTCTAGTAATTTTAGATATTTCCGGATCCACCTTTCTTTACATATGTACTAATTGGTTTCCAAATGAATTGAACAGGGTCTTGATCCAAGGTCCACTGCTAATTTATTCTCCAACTCCATATGTGTCGGAGAGAAGACCGTAAATGGGGAAGACTGCTTTATATTAAAGCTTGAAGCAGATCCTTCAACTCTGAAAGCAAGAAGCAGCAGCAATGTAGAGATTATGAGGCACACCGTTTACGGATACTTCAGCCAAAGAACAGGCCTTTTAATAAATCTAGAGGACACTCATCTTCTAAGAATAAAAGCCCCTGGAAATGATGTATTCTGGGAAACAACAATGGAGTCATTAATTCAAGATTATCGAACACTTAACGGGGTTAACTTCGCACATGGCGGCAGGACATCAGTTTCTCTATTCAGGTTTGGCGAGAACTCAGAAGGACACACCAGAACAAAGATGGAAGAAGTCTGGACCATTGAAGAAGTCGACTTCAACATAAAGGGACTCTCTATGGACTGTTTCTTGCCACCTAGTGACTTGAAGAAAGAAGATGAAGCATGTGGGATAGTCATGAATCATGACGCGATGAAAAAGAATTCGAGGCTGGCATTTAAGATTCATGCCAACACTCCTAAATTGATAGCTTCTGGGAAAGCTGTAACGGTTGCCAAAATCGTGGCTATTGATGAAGAAGATTCAGAAGAATATGAACCAGATGAAGACTTGTAAAATTTAGCAGTTGTATTTGATATCCTGTGGTCATTTTTGTACATAGAGCACCACTGGATATGTCTATGTATAAAGTATTTATATACATATACACATCTTGATTACTCAACTTGAAGGTTGGTTTCTTACAGTTAAATTACTAAATGAAAATATTTCTGCCAAGATGAGGTTTTCTATATCTACGACAACAATAAAAATAAATAGGCTTTATTCCAAGTACGTCAGGGTTCATGTTGCTCCATTCAAGTCTTAATCTAATATTATAAATTATATCAATTCTCACAAAATCCTATGGACACACGTGCAAAGATCTAATTGTCTAGGCAGTCCACCTAGGTTTCTTTTAAGAGAGAACTATAGAAAACCTTAATCCTGTGTTCCCCGCAACACTGGAATGAAATTGAGGTTGAACACATCTCAAAGTTTCTAATTGAAAAACGTAACATAGAATCTATAAAATAGAATAGCCAGCCAGTTCTCTTGTTTTCATTGATTCTTTGCCCACATCAGTGCTCAGTGGGTTTAACCATCACGTGTATTGTTTTTTCAATTGACTGTTAGTAACTTTGTAAAACTTTTGGTAGGCACAATTTCCACTAGCATCAGGTGTTCAATAGGCCAGTCCCTTATATCAGGCGTTTAATTCTGGCAAGTTGAGGAAACTATCTATGTATTTGATCTTTTTAGAATATAGAGTGTCATGCCATTAACATGCAGGTCCTTAGATGAGCTATAGCAATCACACCTACTCCTAAATTAATTTTTGTATCTGAATGATTTATCTGCTACATTAGACTTCTGGGCTATTGGTAGATTGTTGAAGGCGATTAATATAGTGCCGGAAGTCTTCATGAAAGAAGCAACTATTTTGGGAAACCTGTCTCAGAGCCACAGAACAAGCCCACTTCTACTAGTATAGGAAAATGCATTTGCGGAGATGCTTTTTGGTGTCCCAAGATTGATTTTCCGTAAAACGGAACAGTTAAATTTTTTACGTGGTTTATAAACAAGCGAACTGATTTGATCCAAAAATGATAATAAAATAAAATTAAAAGTAAGACTTAGCAATTTAAATTGAAGAAGATGACAAGCCTGGCTGCGAGAGTAATGTCTCCAAGAACAGAAATGAGAGCAATGTAAAAGAGCAAATAACGTTGTTTAATTGAGAGAGAAAATGAAATACAACATATGTTTTGCCAAGAATTTCGTGTCCTACAATGGTTGTTGAGCCTGTTATTTATAGCTATACCTAGGGAAACAGGATCCTAGGATCAAGCCCCACTTAAATGATAATAAAGGAGTCATTGATGAATATATAACGGCAAGCCATGAATACAAATATTCTCTGCAATGACTGCTCATTTAATGTTAGAGAATATTCTTCATTGAATGTTATCTGATGGCAAATATTCAATCTGCTCCCGCTGACCATGCTTCCTTTGGGGTTTACTCGATGTCAATTGCAATTGTTGTTCCCGGTACTGATTGTTACTTGATTCGCCTTTTGCCTGTCTTCGGTTCCACGTGTCATTCTATCATTCGACCATTTATTATAAATCGATTTTACTTTATATAGATAGTCCTCCTGTTTTTCGGTGATACATCTTTGTGTCATCGGGAAGTTGGTGAAGATCCCCTTCTTGGCGGCAAAGTTCATGAACAGTTTCTGATGCTTGAAAGGACGCACGTCTTCTCGCATTTAATACATCGAACACGTGTTGCCCCACGATTCAACCATATTTTCACCGGTTCTCGAGGTAATCATGACCACAATTTTCATCGTCTATATCTTTACTTCTACTCATCATTTTACCTCTTTTACTTTTAAAATTTTCATAAGTTTATCATCTTCTCTGCACTTAATCTCCTCCTGCTTAGAAAACTATCATCTTCTCTAACCTTTTCTAAAACTTTTATTGCCTTTTTACTACCATGGCTTCTTCTACTGTAACTTTTAGAAACTCAGGTCTTTTCTTCGGTGGAAGCCCGAAGAGAAACAAAGACAAAGAAGCTGACGTTGTTTCTAAGCCTACCACTGTAAACACCATTATACCCAAACACCTGAGTACCGTTAATGACTTTCAAGAGAAGGATCCAACTACGTCTTCACGAACTTGGGTCGCTAGTAGGCACCCCTCCTCCATTCGCCCTTCTAATATCCCTGTAGTGAAGGAGGATTGCAACTGCCATAACATCACCATCCTCGCTCCGGATATGTAGAGCGAGTTACCTTTACCAAGGAGGGTTTTACGTATGTCTATACGTATCCTTTTACCTTGGGTCTGTTTTCCTTGGGGAAGAGTGAAGGGCTCAACCCCATAGTTTTGGAGTTTTTCCACCGGTGTGGGGTCTGCTTGGCACAAGCAGGCCCGTCTATATGGAGAACGGTGGCTTGCCTACGCCAGATGTGCACGGAGACAGGGAAAACCCTAACACTTGCACACATGATGAACCTTTACTCGCCCAAAATTTTCCTTGGGGAGAAATAAACTTCAGCAAACGTGGTCATCACGCTCTTCTCACTAGCATGAATGATGACAATGATCGCGAGTGGATGGAGCGATTTGTCATCATCGCCACCAGGGATATCATCCCAGCCACAACTCTGCCTTTTCTTGAGTCGTGGAACCGTTTTCGTAAGTTCTTGATTCATTCTATTCCTTCGTGAAAAGACTATTTTCCATTATGGTTAACCTATTTGTTTCTTTTGTTTCAACTGCCCGGTGGGAACCACCACGGGTTCAAGTCCTAGACTAGTGGGTTCAGAAGATTCTGGAACACCAGAATCCCGCTGATGGAAGGAAATGGCCCCCAAATATGGGTGGAAGGAAACCATGGTAAACCTAGTCCTTCTTCATTTTATCTTTGTATGAACGTAGATAACTTTGCTAACTCCATTTTTTGCTTGGTTCAGGACTTCCGCAGGGCTCCGTCACCTGCCTCGAGGTCAACATTTTAACCGACCCTGAGGAGGCTACGAGAGTGCTACAAAGTGCCCTTGATCGAAGTAGTACATGTGGACCTGCTTCCGGTGAGGATGCTTCCTCTCGGAGTCCCCAGCCAGAAAACAAGCAACCAAAAAGGCAATGTTCTTCCTCAGTTGGGACTCAAAATAAAAAAGCAAAGAAGGCAACGACTGAGCCAACCATAGTGGTCGTTGTAGAGGACGGGGAAGCCAGTGATCAAGTGGCTCCCCTTCAAAGGAAAAAAAATATCTTCATCAGCTCAACCGGAGGATCAACCGAGGGAGCTTCAAAACCCGACCATAGTAGAGGTCCAAGCAATTTGGGGCGAGATGGATCTGATAGATAATGTTGATTCCCACTTTCTTGTCCCCGTTGCTGTCTCCGGTCTAAGGAGTTCAGACCCTAGGCTTCTTCTGCCTTCTGCCGCTGAGAAAACAATAATCAGCGTTGCTCTTGTCGCATCTGCTTCTCAACCTTTAACGCCAACAACTTCACGCCCCTCAACATCATGTGCACCTTCGTCACCAGCACCCACTACATCTCTTCCACCGGAAAAAGACGCTCGAGAGATGGGCTCTTCTCCTCCCCAGTCTCCCGACCATGGGAATCTGGGGCATAATTACTCACCCCCTTCCCAGATCCCTGAGAGAGGAGGATTGCTACTCTTTTGATTTCAAAGGAGTGCCATCTACTATCCAAGCCGGTGTAACTTGTGAACTACCTGAAGTCGTTGGCTTCAGAGAAAGATAGGAAGAAAATACACTCTCTTTCAGGGGAGTTCTTGTTGAACAATGCCATGCACGGCGCGATAGCAGTACCGTACTTGCCTTCTTACAACTTCTTTTTTATTTGTCTGTTTCAATGAGATTTCTAATCTTGTTATTCATTTTTGCAAGCCAACATTCTTGCTTTCGAGGGCCTGAAAAAATTGATCCTTGATAAGAAAGGACTCGCCTCCGAGCGGGATCAATTGTTGGCCGAAAGGGACCAACTTGTTGCGCGCCTCCCGGTGTTGGAAGCAAAAGCTGCTGAGCCGGGCGAGCTTGAGGCCGGGTTGTAGAAAAGTGAACAAGAGATAATGGCCCACAGCCAAGAAGCCACGTCATTACACGAACAACTCCAAGAGGCTAAGGCTAAATGACCCGAGCTCCAAGATACTGTACTTGCTGCTACCGAGCATGAGTCTACCTCCGAGGAGTAAATGAATAACTTGAAGGCAACCTTGAGCTCCAAACCAAGAAGGCCAATGCCATCGAGGATAAGAGGGCCAAAATGGAAGAATATTCAAGAAGATCATAGAGCAAAACCCGATTTATCTATCTACAACTCGTGACCTTGACTCTAGCCTCGGTGCTAAGAGATCTGAGAGGAACGACTTTCAGGCCGAGGTTGACAGACTTAAGGCAAATCTCAAGTTCCAAGGGGATTCCCTCATATTTGAGAAGACGTATGCTATATATAATATGAGGAGGAAAACCTTGGAAGAGGCCAAAGCAGGCATGGTCGATATTGATGATTGCATCGTCAAGGCCCGAGAACTGGATCTAACTGTTCGAGAACATCTCCCTGCTCAACCCGCTACAACTGACTCTTCGAGCACCGGTTCCGAGTATTTGGGAACCGGAAGTGAAATTAAAGAGAATGATGATAAACGTCCAGGCTCCGAACTGTCAGCTAATCCGCCCTCTTCCACCGGGGGGACGCAGATCCCTCTCTCCCTTTAAGCTCCGGCAGAGATAATGCTTAGATTCTTTCTTCCTTTCCTTTTTTTATACATTGTAATTATGCAAAACCTTTTACCGAGTTTGGCACTTTGATAAATAAATAAGAATTTTGCTTAAGTGTTGTGCAAAATACATTCTCTTTGTGTTAAATTAGTTAAAGCTTCGGGTACAATTTCATCTGATAGTTTATGATTTCGGGCATGAATTCTTCCAGAATAAACCCTTTACTATTAGGGTTTCATAAGAGAGGGCCCTCTTATGTTTACGGTGCTCTTGAAGATGATGTCTCCTATTCATTCCGCCACAAGCATTTGAAGTTTTTTGTTAACTTTCAAATGATAAAATTAACTCATTGTTTTTACAAGAAACAAGATAAAAATAAAGGACTTTATTTTATTCCTTCTATCTTTAAAAGTACATAAGCATTCGTTTGATAAAGG